GATGAACCCTTCTCTGATTTGAGCAATACAAGCAACATTGTCTTCACACATGATCATTTATAGCACTATTCGACATGTTTTTCACTTTTCAAATGATTGAACTCTTTAGTTAGTAGCATTAACAACTAATCTAATAGTTAGAATATGTTACAACAATATCAAATTTGAATTCAAAATACACAAACTCTTGGTGTTAACTCTTAATCAAGAATATTATGGTACTTTATATCCTTCAAGGGGTTGCTTCATGCGATATATCTCAAATATTTCATGAGCTTTGAGGATCTCCATGTACCATACAATCTTAATAAATATGCATTTAACACATGCTATATGTTTTACGTTAAAATAACAAATGTACTTATAGACATGTGGATGCATCTATGATGAGATGAAAGACTAAAACCATGTCTTTACCAGGAAACCTTATGTCATATTAATGATCTTATTTCACTTCACAAACACCAATTCGTAACCTTCATACTTAACATTTGTAATTCGGTGTTTGAGATATAGGTTCAATATCCCACACTTCATATTCAGTGAAAAATGGAATTGCCTATTTCCATTTTGGCCAATCACTTAACTTGTCGACATTCATAAGGCGATTTAATATAATCATAACCCTTGATGATTGTAGTAGCTACTAATAAACCAAATGTATCATCAATTCGTGATCCCACAATTCTCATGTGCATGCGCATACATAATTTATAAGTATCTCATTACTTTGGGGTACCAATGCCTCTTCAGGGGCTGATATTGTCATTTATGGGACAAACATATCTTGTACGATGAATAAATTAGAATATGTGGATCGTTACCTCATATAGAGCGTTATTTTTTTTTATAGGGCTTGAATTTTTCGAATAATCTCCACTTTTGGGGAGTTAAGTTTTTAGAACTTATATTTTTGTCATGCTCATAGTCACTTATTGTCATGTTAATGGATTATGATATATGAATATCAATCCATGCTTGCATATTCATAACTTTATATATGCATTATCTTGATGAGACAAAAGCGGACCGATTCAACATTATTTCACGACGTTCTTCAGGAACTGTCATTTCTTTCTCTAACAGCGGGAAAATTGTCTCAAAATGTAGGAAAATAAACTCACCATCATTATCAATTCAAATTGACTAGATTGGATAATGTGGGAGTTGTGCTCGTAAGCTTCTTGACAAGAGACAAATATGTGACAATTTTAGTAGGCACATTCAAAAAAACTGGTGAAGTGATCCATAATTAAATGTTGTATGGGCTCACAAATACCCATTGAATTATTTAAGGAACTCAAAATCAATTTTAGACTGAGATGATCTTATGACAGCTTTTATTTGTGAGCATTCTTTGTAATGATATTTGTTGGACAGGATAATAGTTTGAGTCTTTAAATGATGTCCTTACAAATTTACAAAAATCTTATGTATCATTGTAGAACATGAATTGTCAAGATAGTCATGCCACAACATAAAAGTGATTCGATCAATGAACTTCTGGTTCATGACATCATAATTTTCAACTACTAGAATAGTTGTGTAATATTAGGGCCTCATGAACTTCTAGTTCATGACATCATAAACTTCAACTACTGTAATAATTGTGTAATATTTGGGCCTCATGAACTTCTGGTTCATGACATCATAAACTTCCTACCCACAAAAGAAAGTAGGAAGTTTCTCCAATAAACGCCTCTGAATGTCAATATTGGGCTGGTAATACAAAACATTACCATTGTAAAACGAAATTAACTAACCCAACATAAATAAAATAAAATGAGTAAAGTGGTATAAATGAGGAATAAAATAAATAAATTAAAGACTATGAAATTCCAAGATAATCCAATATTAATGTGGATTCAATATGTAGATAAAATTACAAGTTTAAGAATTAGATTTCTAACCAATTGAGGTTCATATAGGCACAAATAAGTAATGAACTTCAGGTTCATATATAGTATTAAGATCCATGAAAAACTATGAACTTCAAGTTCATATCAATATATATTCGAAACTTCAGGTTCGAATACATATATCTAAATAAATTGAATTAATAGTTGTGCTTTGAAATTCATATTCAAATCGATGTATATGCACTCGAAACTTTTGATTCGGGTTCTTGACATATGAAGGCCTCATGGAATTCTGATTTTGATTAATACAAAATCGAGGAGTTTCATGTCCTTATGTGCTCTTTAAATTCGCGGAACTTCACGCCCTCAATTATTTGAAATCAAAGAACTTCAGGTTCTGATTCAATCAAAAGAACTCTATGTCTTAATCTAGTTATATGATGAGGATCGAGGAACTTTAGGCCCTGATATTTTGTATAATACAAACTCATCATAAGAATTAAGATAATACTTAAAATTAAATAAACAAACAAATTAAAAAAAATGGCATTATATTCATGTGTAATAAGAATAAGATTTTTTTTTTCTTAAACGAGCATGATGAAGTCTGATGGTGAGTACAAAGAAACTCTATACCATGTGATGACTCTATCTCATATAAGAAGAAAGAAAATTCAAAGAAAGAAAACATACCAAGAGTAATGTCGTGCTGATAACGTGTTATAAAACTAGAGGGAGAAAATGTAGAAAGAAGTGATATGCTAAAGATAAAGTTTCACCATGTTTATTCTTCTCTTAATCTTTAATAGAACCACTTATTTATATGCTTACAAGAAGGAGATTGAATACCATCATTTACAATATACCTGTAGGTTACAAGCACTAATTACAAATACTTAGTACATAGGTTACATAATAAAAATACTAAGACCATCTCCAACCATGTTGGGGCTAAACTCAAATTTTCACTCTTCAAAATACAACTATTCATGTATTTTCAGGACTCAAAATTTTTTTTCCTCCAACCTTGTAGACTCATAATTTGAGTCCGCAACTTTATTAAATTGTTTAAGAATGATTAACCCCTAAATTTTGTTTCTTGTTAATTTTTCTTGACATTATTTTTGTTTCAACACTCGTGATTTAATTTTCTAAACATTTTAACCTAAAAAAAATAAAATTCCAAAGCATAATTGAATTTCACTTAAAAAATAAAAATAAGTACAATACATTTTTTTTATTTTTTTTTTAAAAAAAAAACAAACAAACAAACCAGCAATATCAGATTTTTGGCACAAAGTTGCTGCCCAAACAGTGTAACCAAAACTGGGCCCAGCAAACATTATGCAGCACATGGGCTTCAGTCAGAAAAATAAAAATAAAAAAAAGCAGATTTTGGGCCCACAAAATTATCAGTCCAGGCAAAAATGGGACTGGAATTCCACCCAAGATTTGAGATTTCTCAAATTTCCACCCCCCAAAATACATGAGTTGGAGATGGTTTTTGGAGGCTAAACTCAAAATTTGAGTTTCCACCCCAAGGGTTGGAGATGGTCTAAGAGGTATGGTGGTCATCCACCAACTCAGACATTTACAACAAAAATAAATATTTTTATTTATAAGTAGTTTTGCATTTATAGGGCCTTCTTTTTTACTTTGTCCTGAGCCACCAAATTCTCAAGGCCGGCCCTGCATGGAAGTACCTAAATTTATCAGAGCGTGTTTGGTTTCAAATACAAACTGAATCAGCGATCTGTTGAATCTAATATAACATAATATAGAATAGGAATTTAAAAATAGGTGATGAAGCATAACAAATACTCAATTTTTTGCTTTATTCAATAGCTATTGGAATCTGTCTCCCATATATTGTTACTCATTGTCATCATGCCTTGATAACAGGGTCCTGAGAGTAACGAGCTTGCTGCTGCTTCAAGACTTGAAGATGATGTCAACTTTTACTAAATAGTGGATCCTAAGGTGGCAAAACTTTTCCATCTTGACCCTGAAGTTAAACGACCTGCTTTGATCTTGCTTAAGAAGGAGGCTGAGAAACTAAGTTCTTTCGGTTAGTCTCTTTTTTATTATCACATTGGGTGAGATGTCTTAATTTGATTGTTTTGTGTTCCTTTACTCTATCCTCAGTTTCTCATTTCTGCAGATGGTAAATTTGAGAAGTCTGCAATTGTCGAGTGTGTCATTGCGAACAAGCTTCCTTTAGTCATCACATTTCCGTTTCCGTTCTAGTACTTTCATCATATTTACTTTTTTCCCATACTCTGCAATGCAAATTTTGCTTCTATAAAATTAATTTTTGTTTTTGTTGTTGTTTTTGTTTTTGTTTTTGTTTTTTTTTTACATAATTGATATCTACATTGTATTTCTGTTGCAGTTTCTGTTTTTATTTGCAGTTTTTTCTTGCATATGTGTTGAAATGTTTTAAAATAAAATAAAAAATAAAAAAAACTGTTGATTGTTTATATAAATATTGTATAACTGAATAAATATTTAAAAATCAAGTTTGGTGTAGTGGTTTATGAGTGTACCCTCCTCTTTTGAGGGACAATGTTTGAGTCCCTTCAATGATACAAAATCTCGTTTGGCCGGATGTGGACATGTGACATAGTATACTTGCCTTAGATGGAGTGGCATTGTGTATAATGTTGATATTTTTTTGATGATATTATTGTAAAATTAGGTACTACATTTTGGCCTTTTTTTGGTCAGATCACTGGAAAATTTTATTAGAAACGAATAGAAAGGTTTACATCGGCTACAAGAAGAGCCATTCAATTCCAACATAATCCCAAACATGAGGACCCCTGTCTAGAAACAAAACGAGCTACTGCATGTGCAGCCCGATTACAACGCCGGGGTGCAAACACAAAGATCCCTCGTGCAAAACTGAGACACCAGCTGCTGTATGTCGAAGACAATCCCTTCAACGTCAGCATCCACTGCAACCTGTCCGTTGAGTATTGAGATACCTCTTTGGACATCGACTATATTTTGGTTTTTGGCGTTGTGTTAATTAGATGAAATTATATTCCTATATTTCAAATTAGTAAACCATATTGTGTTTTAAAACTAAAGCTCTAAAAAGATAAACTAAATACAATAACTGGGTTGGGCTGCCAGGTGCTAAAAGAATGGTGCCCATCAATCACCATATGAACCTCTATCTCCGAATAATTTGAGCAGCAATCACTACATGAAAACCATCTTTCACGTTTCTCTAATAATTTACACAATTATAATGATACATGGAAAACTATCTGACATTTATGACAAAACCGCAAAAAGTTTTATGTATGCCCTAATTTTCCTCAATTGTCTTGATCACATCGTGCAACGTTCTTTTGAGCCTTTTGGGGCAGAAGAAGTTTACAGTTTCATCTCACAGGTATATGTTCTCCGAGCTTTTGGAGGAGAAGCTCCTCAATAATCAGTGTTAAGTTTTTCAATCAGATATCCTTGTTCAAGCTTTGCACATGCAAGGGGTCAGGGGGTTCTCCCACAGGTCATAGTTAGGGAAGGTCTCTTCTGGTAATCCAGTTCGCGTTTCGTGGGTGACAACAACGTCTTCGGCAAAGGTTGCCCATCCCAAGTAAGGGTCCCCAAAAGATTTTGACATAAGCCCCTTGTCCGGTTTTATGGATTTAAGACGATGACCCATATACCTGCGTGCCCCTATGATCAGTTTAGCAAAGTTGCCTCCATGGGTCATCACAAATACATCAGACTTCAAACAAACCAGGAAGTCAAGTGCTGCCAAGCTAGTCACATGCTTCCTGAAATTATCCAACTCCTGCTTAGTTGCCAACTCCTCTTTCGTTACCTGTTATGAACAGTCAAAATGAACCTATCCATCAAGAGGGGGAAACAAGGACTTAAAGTGAAGAAGTGTCCATATGATCCACCAAATTTCAGCTTTCAAATGATTAATAGTTATCTGAAGTAACCTCAGCTAGAATTATTACGAACCGGAATTTCTAAAATCAACATGTCATTCAGGTAAATATTCTAAATAATGGAAATGGTATAATGTTTTAGGATATAATTTACTTAACAGTTCAAAATTAATGAGCCACCTTCACGACATAAGATCAGTCAGTAAGCTATGTTAGAATAACTTAGAAGTTCATACCAGATTTGGGAACATGTTCCTCAGTGGTGCCATCCTGTTGTGCCCACCATAGACCTGTCCGGAAGCAACATAAATTTGAGTCTCCTTAGGATAGCCCATTGCTCGAAGAATCACAGCCACTTCCCCAGGCTCAAGGGGACATCTCCCTTCCTTCCGCTTCTGCAGGGCTAGTTGCCATAGATGGGTACCATTCTGCATACCAAAATTGCCACCAAAAGAAAAGAAGAAACAAAATAAGACTAAAATTCTTTTAAGATTCTGACTGCATATAGTTGATCCAGATTATTTACCTTGTACCGTCTTGGCCATTCTTTTTCTCTGTATTTTGCCATTAGAGCTTTCTCTTCCCTTGTGCCCACAAAATCACAGAAGGATAGACCTACCATCCCTTTCTCAAACCTAAGATGAAGAGCCCTGCTAAGTGTGGAACTGTTAGTGAGGTTGAAAAGAATCCTGAAAGGGTTAAGCTCACTTTCCTAATGCCAATGTTACATACATATAAGGATTGGAGCTGCCAGTGCGGTTTCTCATCCTTGATGCTAATAAATCAGCCATCTGCTCTATTTCAGGAAGAAACTTAAGAGCATGATAGTTCACCCTGCACCTTAGCCTGTTGATTTCTTGAGGGACATTGTCATACCTGAAACCAGATTGTTAGCTTGATATACATTGTTGACCATTTGTCAGCAGCTTAAACCTTTTTTATCCAGCAGTTTTCTAACAGATACAACCACTTGTAAGTTTAGGGCAGCACACAGCACACCCATATATCAAATTCATGACTTACCCCAGTCGATCAACAAAAGGTTTTAGGGCCATTATCTTCTTCTCCTTAATTCGAGGCAGAACATTGTCGATGTAAAATTGTGCCGGTGCATACTTCGGAATGTTCTTTACTGTCCGTCTAAAGAAAAAAATCCCACAAATCATTGCGAGTTGCACCAACAATCCAAATGTTTTCCCTAAATTGGAGGGAGAGAGGGAGAGAGGGAGAGAGGGAGAGAAGGAGAGAGGGAGAGATATAGAGACAGAGAGAGCGAACTTAACCTTATACTTGAAAATAACTCAGTTTTGTCTGTAAACCACTCAGGAATATCACGAACAATGCGTACATCATCCTTCAGGTAATCAATGAAATGATCAACATCAAAGATATCTTCAAATTTCCTGCAGATATTGTCATATGTTAATGAAGAATTGCAAGCATAAGAGATCCCAACACAGTACCATATGGAGCAATTTCAAATGGTCATATTTTTCAGTGATCCTAAAAATGGCAAAAGATTTATGGATACATTATGTGTGCATACAAGCTACTTCTGATCCTATTAATTTGACAAGGGAGATTAATCCAAAATTTCAAGATTTGTAACAGAAGATCATTAACATGAATAACGATATTCTCTCTTCTTTTTTTCTTCTTCTTTACACATACACTGCTTTTAAAACATTACACTATTGTGACAGTAAGTATAAAAATAATGGTAAATCTCACGTTTGGTCTTTCCAAATCTGATCCTGCTTCAGCACTGGCAAAATAAGGGTGGCATTCATTATTTTGGCCACAGCCACTGCATTGCATATCTGCATGAAATAATATACACAATGGTAAATATGTGTACATACGTGGCTGACCACTTCACATACAATGGTAAGGCACAATCATCCACTTCTCAAAGAGTGAACTTAATAAAACCCACTTAAAAAACATTATCTCATACTAATATGCGAATTACCAACCAGACTAGTGCATTTCTCCACCATTATCACTCAATTAAAATAAGTTGAGATTGCTATATATATTTGTTTGTAAACCATGGGAAATCAATGGGATCCACAAGGCCGATAAAGTATATAAATGAGCAATCTGTGTGTAAACAGAGAAATTCAGCCAAGCTACATTGGTAAAGCAAAGACCAGTAAAGCTCTTCTGGCCACAAAGAGAGCAGACCAAATACAATGAGCTTACAGCCACAGCAAGAGAGACAAGCTAATAAACAAGGAGAACACGTGACTGCCACATCAGCAGACAAGATGTTGCCAATTTCAGCAAGCCATCTAGCATGGACACCAAGCTGGCAAACATATTATGGTTGAAGTTGTAACAGATTAACTGTTGCGGCTAACAATTGTGACTAATCTGTAACAGTCTATAGCCATCACTTAACTAACAGGCTTAGCTGGCTTTCTGGCAAATCCTTAGGAGCTTTGGCTATATATTTGAGAAAATTGATACTGTACTTTCTCTTGAAGGTTCTTGAAGTTTTCTTTCACTTGTCCATTCTTATAATGTGCACAAGTTGGTGAAAAAATTTAGGAAAAGACTTTCTAAATCAGATTACAAGTAAACAGAGCAGAACATACCGCAATTCTTTGCTGATTTAGACCCCCCTCTGCATGGATAAATATGTACCCAGTTGTTTCATTTTCAGGTGGAAGATCTGAATAGAGCAAGAAAGATTCTAAATTTAGAAAAGAAACTCAAACACGGAAATAGAATCTAGAACTTGACATAGTAAACAGATCTAGATTACAAGGGAGCAGCAACAACAACTCACAACAACATTGTAGTTAGATTTCTAAAATAGTAAAAGAGGAGCTCAGCTTACCTGAAAATCCACCAAGGCGACGCTCAGCACAGGGCTTCCAAGATGTGGTTGCTGAATAAGGATTCTCCCAAAGTGAAGGCGCTTCCTTGACCTGAAATTTCAACAATCTCACAATTCATTACAGACAACGTTGACCTAACACACAGCTTCAGAAACTTACATGAGGACAGTGAAGAGTGATGCCATCTTTTTTACACAAGTAAGGAGCATTCTGCAATACAATTCAACAAAAAATGAAAGCAATTAACAAACATAAAAATCCAGAGCTCCAAGAAAATCTGATCTTATCCTAATTTCCAGACACCAGAAATCCAAACAATAAAAAGCACAAAAAGAACCAATACCACTCGTTTCACGATTGCCAAAATCGACACTAAGCCAAGGAGGGCAACGACAATGACCACGACGAGTGAGATCCTAGAGCTGTTAGCGTCGTCGCCAATGGACGGACAGATGTATTGGAAATGGGAGAAGAAGGGACGGTCACGATCTTTGTAGGGGTGGCGACCGCGACCGTCGTCGTCGTCTACGGGTTGAATGTCCGAGATCAAAGGAGAGGAGTCTTCATCTCGCTTCATTGGAGAAGAAGTGCCTCGAGCCCCCATCGAGATGGAGTGCCTGAGCTCAGCCATGGCTCGCTTCGGACTGTAAGTCATGGCTTTTGAGGTTTTTTCTGGCTTTGGTAATGTTAAAGATAGAGTGAGGAGGTAAAGCCAAAGGTGATTTATTTTCGTAAATAAAATTAAAAAAATGATAAAACAACAATTTACTTTTGGTCTATTTTATAATTTCATCCCGTAGTTTTAATTTTAGGAATTTGACGCCCTTCTTAAATTGATCGAATTGAAAATGATAAGGATACAATTGAAAATATTGAAACTAGATAGACTAAAGTAGTAAATCTTGCAAACTACGGGGACTAAAAAGACTTTTCGTTAAATGAAAATTAAGAGGAACGGCACCGTTTTGAATGGGATGGGCATTTTTGGACATCTAAAACTAACAGCCCGAACACTGGTAACTAACCGAAGCCATCATCACGCAGACACAGAACCTAGCAGCCCGGCACCAAAGAAGGAAGGAACACGAAGCACACCAGTGACCGCCACATGGCGGCCACTCGAGCCCCTCTGTCCTCATACCAAAACCCTAGCTCCACACCCACACTGAAATCTCCTCCCAAACCCTCTTATGTCGCTTTTGAAATCAAAGCCTCGACCTTGAGGAAGAAGAAGCAGAACGGCATTAGGTGCGAGATCAAGAGCTTCGAGAATCCGCACAATTGGACCATCGAGCCGGATACGCCTATTCGTGTCTTTCACAACCATCCAGAAGCTCAGGTGGCAATGGCTTCCGGATCGGCAGTGAAGAAGGTCTGCCTCTTCTACTGCGCCGAGACCAAGTCGCTCGCTCAGAAAGTCGCGGCTCAATCTGACGCCGTTGAGCTCCGTAGCATCACTTGGAGGTGAGCTATAATTAGGGTAAATTTTCATTATAAATGCATAAGCTTTATTGTTTCTGAATTGCTCTTGTATCCAATTTTGTAAATTTTGTTTCTTTTAGGAAATTTGATGATGGGTTTCCCAACATATTCATACCCAATGCTCATGGCATTCGAGGACACCATGTGGCCTTTCTGGCCTCGTTTAGTTCCCCATCAGTGATTTTTGAGCAGCTCTCTGTGATCTATGCATTGCCCAAGTTGTTCATCGCCTCATTCACGCTCGTCCTTCCCTTTTTTCCCACTGGGACTTCTGAGCGTATGGAGGATGAGGGAGATGTTGCCACCGCTTTCACACTTGCCAGGGCCTTGTCAAATATACCCATTTCAATGGGAGGGCCCACTAGTTTAGTCATCTATGATATCCATGCCTTGCAGGTTCCTCTACCACATTACTATACAATTGTGTCTTCTCATAGTCATCAGTAAGCAATATGCAATGATTTTTCTGACAGTATTTTTTTCATTGTCTTTTGTGTGTTTAGGAGAGATTTTACTTTGGTGATAATATCTTACCATGCTTTGAAAGTGGGATCCCTTTGCTCAAAAGTAGGCTGCAACAGCTCCCTGATTCTGATAATGTAAAGTTCTTTTCCCCTCTGGATGTTGATAAGAGTAATTATTCAAATCAATTTTTATTTCTGAAATTGTGTGATGATTTTCTTCACCTTTCAGATATCCATTGCTTTTCCTGATGATGGTGCATGGAAACGATTTCATAAGCAGCTACAGCATTTCCCAACGGTATTTTGTTTTCCCTTTCCTAGTAACAAGTTGGAGCTAAGAGTCTTCAAAACCACATATACATGACAATTATCTTCCTGTCTTCATGTTTGTTCTAAGTATTTTGACAAGAATCTGCTCATTGAGCCCTGTGCACTACTCTTCATAGTTATATACTAGGATGGATATGTCAATGAGCTGGGTGCATTAAATTGCATGCTCTATACTCCGATTCCATCCTTAAGATTTCATCATAAAGCTTATAGTTTGTGTAAGAAGTGCAGCTGGACACTGTTTGTTCAACTATGTTGTGGTTTCATCTCCTTCGCTGACATTTTCATGATCTTTAATATTTACTTCATGAAGGCGTGATTTAATTATGTTTCTTGTTGGCTGCATAACCTTCCACAATTAAATGCAGATTGTCTGTGCTAAAGTTCGGGAAGGTGACCAACGAATTGTACGTATCAAGGAGGGAGACGCAAGAGGACGGCATGTTGTGATTGTTGATGATTTGGTTCAATCTGGTGGCACCTTGATTGAATGCCAGGTATCAAAATCCTGGGTGAACTTATTGTCTGCTGCCTGATACTAATAACCTTAAAATAAAAGAAGACTATGAATGATGTGCCTGCCTTGAGCACAACATTTTAACCCTATAATACTGGTCATAACACACAGAACCTTGAAATTCAGATAGAATATGGCCCAATTGATAACATGATCAACACTTTTGGCAAAAAGTAAAGAATAAAATTGTCACTGGGTTGGATCTGGAAAATAACTTCTTGACCAATAGATGGACATTGGACTTATTGCTTGTTTCTTGCTACACACTCCTAACTTTCACAGAGGAGAATAGTTCTTCCATTTGTTTATAACTAATCTGAAATGTCTTGTTACGTTCTCACTTGTTTTAGAAAGTTTTAGCCGCCCATGGAGCTGCGAAAATCAGTGCTTATGTAACGCATGGGATTTTTCCTAATAGATCATGGGAACGCTTTCAAAGAGATAATGGAGGTATTACGCGCTCTACTTACTTTTCCTCTGAAGTTTTTATTACTCGTTATTCTTTTGATTTGTAGTTAACTTTCTTGCTCTTGTATAATTTAACAGAAAATTAACTCACTACTACATGGTGCCAACTTGGTTGAGACTCTCCAAGTACAATTTCTAATTCCTCTGTGCATTCTTTCTTTCCTTTTCCAACCAGGGAAACCTGAGCATGGGCTGACCTACTTCTGGATTACAGACTCATGTCCACTGACAGTGGAAGATGTGATGCACAATCCACCGTTTGAAGTTCTCAGCCTTGCTGGTTCTATAGCGGCTACTCTTCAAATATAAGAGAAACTTAGGAGCACTAGATAAAAGTGCCTTCTCTTAGGTTTTATTTCTTGTTCTCCCGCCCTTTCTTCCTCTTATGGGGTTCAACAGATTATAGAGTCATCAAGCATAGAGAAGTACAAGGATTCGAGTATCAGGCTGCAGCGAAGAATTTTTACTTTTTGTAGCAGTTATTATGACAAAATGATGCGAACTTTCAGGGGCATTGACAAAGTTTAGCACTTTGATTACAATAAACACCTAGTATCCTCAATGCTAAGTTGCTGTCAAAAGTATAATCTAGCTCTAGGAATAGAGCAAGGGCAAATAGCCATTTCTGAAGAAAAGTTATAGGCTAACATTGTCTACAGTTCGAGCATATGTGATTTCCTTTTAGACAAATTGCAAGAAGTTATTTCTATATGTTAAGTATTTCATATGTGGAAAGCAAGTGAAGGAAATTAGCCTTCGTATTGTATCACTACTCTTTAGTAACTGTTTCTGCACTGGTGTGCACGGTGCCTGCCTTTCTTGGCCCTGTATCCTTCTCCAGAAGGATGGTACAAACTAAATGGTGATGGCAGCTTGCAAGGATGAATCTGACAGAATGGGTGCTGGGGTTGGTGATCGTCGAGGAGGGTGGCTTGCCAATCACTTCAGGCAGGGCGAAGCCACCTTCAGAGCCATCTTTTTTGGATGAAATTCTTAGATGGGTCTATAATAGTGTTTTTTATAGTACTTTTAGAAATTATATAATTGTTGGTGATTACAAGAAGTAAAAAGATATTTATTTTACTAGCATTTATCAAATTAAAGTTTTTGTAACAAATTCATGGTCAATATTTGATACCAAATATAGTGCTTCTTATGTAGTTTAGTAGCTCCGGATGCACCAGATGTGAAGTACATATTTGGCACTCCTTGTTCCCTTTAAAGGACATTTGTGGTGTTGCTGGCAGAGCAGGGGGAGGTGGAGTTGGTACTAGCGAAGCTAGTGTAAATGGCAGAGGTGGAGCTGGCGAAGGCATAGTTGGCAGAGGCAGAGTTGGCCGAGGCCTATTTGGCAAAGGTGGAGCTAGAGGAGGCGTAGTTGGCAAAGGCAGAGTTGGTCGAGGCCTATTTGGCAAAGGTGGAGCTAGCAGAGGCAGAATCAGTAGAGGCGTAGCTGCCATGGCGGGAAATGGTGAAGATGTAGCCGTCAATGGCGGAGGTGTAGGTGGCAAAATTAGAGCTAGCGGAGGCGTAGCTGGCATAGGCGGAGATGGCCAAGGCGTAGCCAACACAGGTGGAGATGGTGGAGGTGTATCTGGCAAGTGAGGAGCTGGCAGAGGTGTAGCTGGCAAAATCAGAGTTAATGGAGGCGCAACCGGCATAGGCGGAGATGGCGGAGGCGTAGACGGCATAGGGGGAGATGGCGGAGGTGTAACAGGCAAAGGCGGAGATGGCAGAGGCGTAGGTGGCAAAGGCAGAGCTTGTGGAGGCGTAGCTGGCGAATAAGTAGTTGGTTCTACCCTTGCCTTGAGGAAAGGTAATTTGAGCACAATAGTGCCAATGGAAGTTCCAATAGCATTATTGCAAGAGGCATAAATCTTCTTACCAGGAACATCAGAGGTAATTTTGATGCGGTCCATAATAATGTTAACCTAAATTCTGGTTACAATCTAATTTGATCGCCTCCTCACTCGCAGAAGTTCCTTCAAAATCAATGTACTTCACATCATCCACTGACACAGTCGAGGCCTGAGTTTTGCATTTGTGATCACCATTACAATAAAACTGGTCAATGATGACGGAATTTTGAGCTCCATCGAGTGTGATCTTCTCAAACGTTATGTTCCTAGCATACCCGGATCCGCCCTGCCACGTCTTGACCCTAGCTCCACTTGTAGTCCCACTGAAACTACAATATCTCACGTACACATTCTCCACTTTCTCGAGTTGCCCATATGCTCCCAAGCTTCCCACAATGTTTGCAAAAGAGAATTTTAAGTTAATATTATAAGCTAGATTTTTCAATAAGGATTTGTGTTAAGGACTACGTACGTAATTCCATGGCCTGGTCCGCACACGATGTTGGCGATGTTGAGATCGAAGCAGCCACCGTTTATGGCTATACAGTCATCGCCGGTTCCAATGGTAGAGTGTTGAATAAAGACATTGTGTGAGCTTGAGATGTCAATGCCATCAGTGTTTGGACTGTCTTCAAGTGCTGTTATGGTGAGATGAGAGACATACACATTGTTGCAATGGCTTTAGCAATGTGGGCTCTTGCATTGTTTAGATTAGTAAGTCCACTTAGTTTAAGATTATCGCGTCCATGAGAGAGGTTACAATGAGGAGTTTAAAGTGAGGAGGTTATTTGAGGGGACCGATCCCACCATCAAAATATTTAAAATATTTAAGTCCCATGATTTCTTTACATTTGTTAATGGTGAGATTGACCTCCTCAAATAGCCTCATTACTTTAAACTCCTTATTATAGCTTCTTCGTCCATGGAAGTGCAGAGCCTGCAGTAACATTCAAATTAGTAAGCCCAATTTCAGTAAAAAAACACTAAATTAAATTAAATTGAAAAGAAAAAAAAATTTCATACATATGGTGGTTTGCAATTCTTCTTATTCATCTGGAGCAGTTTGCATGATAATGTGTCGTATTGGTTGGGAGTGGTCCACCAAGATGAACCATGACCGTTGATTTCTCCTGGACCATCAACCAAGAGATTGCCCAGATTCGAAAATTGGAGCCAATCCGACGATTTACACCCTTTCCATTAGCGGTGGGCACGGTACGGTATGGTACGGTATCATATCGCTACCGATACCGGAAATTTAAATCGGTATGGTACAGTATGGGATTATGGTTTGCCAAAATTTGTACCGTACCATACCGTGCCAAATCGGTATCGGTACCACTTTGGTATCAAAATGATACAACTAAAAATGAACCAATTCAATATTCAACACCAAAATAAGTGATACCTAAGTTACAAATTCAAAGATTCAACATATTCAATATCCAAATCCTAATCAACATATTCAATATCCAAATCCAAATCAACATATTTAATATCCATCAATATATTCAATATCCAAATCAACCAAATCAATATTTATCCATCAACATATTCATCAAATCCAAATGGTTAAAACTCATACTTTATGGCTTACAAACCAAAATAGTTAAAATTATGTCTTATGACTTACAAAAATACAAACACAATCCAAACATAAATGACAAAAACATAAAGTTATACTCTTCAGTACGGTACGGTATTGACCGGTACCAAAATCTTGATACCGCTACCATACCATACTCTATTGATACGGTACGGTACGGTACCGAATATCTCTCCATACCAAATGAAACGGTATGAAATCGGTATGATACGGTGCGGTTAGGGTACGGTTTCGGTATTTCGGTTTAAGATGCCCACCCCTACTTTCCATGCATCCAACGTTTTGGGTGCCACTAGTTTTCCCAGGATATGCTCACCACACCCAACAGGAAAGGAGAAAAAGAACGATTTAATCAGTTTTTCAATAAGTAAGAAAAATCATATTGTTGAAATAAGTGTTTTCAGCTCATCAAAAAAGAAAATTTATATATAAAAAAAAAAAAAAACCAGTGTTTTCAAAGGCGTGTGTAGGTTACCTGAACATGAACACTATTTGAGTTGCAAGCGCCTTCAAACTTGACGGGCTGCAATGAGAAAGTTTTTGTCTCTGGTATAACAATTGTTGGTACGCCGTTAGCTTCATCGGATGCTCCGCATAACTCTTCCCATGCTTTTACAAAAGCCTATATTTGCAAAGTGAACAAACTGTTAAGTGATTGCTCCTTTTAGCTTAAGATAATGGCAAATAAAGGAATAAAATAAAACAAGAAAATAAAAATGCTCTCTTCCTTATTGTATAACATGATGACATTTTAATGTTGTCGCATTATCCATCCAAACTATTGATAAGAGGAACATGTATTTTATGTGAATATGTGGTTTAAATATACAGTTTGACAACATTAACACGTCAAGCTATCTAACAAGCGAACATTACTCGAAAGAACTAAATGCATGTGTTACGAGAAGTTAATTACCCTGGAATCATTAGTTTTTCCGTCTCCAACAACACCATATTTAAGAACATTGAATGATATTTGTGATAACAATATTAGTTAGTTTGTATTCAGTTAAGCTGTCACGTATGTGCTCACGTGTTGTTAGTTAGTATTAGCTGTAGTTAGTTAGATTGCTAAGTCTTGGTTATTGAGATATATAAAATTGATGACACTACGATTATAATCATTCCTGTGAAATCAGTATACAGAGCATATCATTTTCTTGAATCTTCTTCTTCCTTCTTAGCTTTCTCAATTCTTAAGCTTCCTCTTCTAAACTGTTAACGATTTGACTATGTCTAAAACCAATCAACTGAGATGAAGCAATGTAGAATATCAAAAGTGTAACTAGTATTTTCTTCATATTATTTACGAAACAATGAAGAAGAAACCAAAAGGATGGCAAAGTACGTAGCTAAAGTTCTCGGGCACTAGAACAGAAGGATCTGTTAATAAGGTTCCCTAAGACCATCTCTAATCATGTTGGGGCTAAACTCAAATTTTCACCCTCCAAAATACAACTATTCATGTATTTTCAATACTCAAATTTTTTTTTTCTCCAACCTTGCAGACTCATAATTTGAGTCCGCAACTTTATTAAATTGTTTAAGAATGAATAACCTTTTTTTTTTTCTTGTTAATTTTTCTTAACATTAATTTTATTTCAATACTCGTGATTTAATTTTCTAAACATTTTAACCTAAAAAAATTAAAATTCCAAAACATAATAGAATTTCACTTAAAAATAAAAATAAGTACAACACCATACGTATGCCCGGAATAATTCAAACCCTTCATTGAAGCCATTGCCATAATTTTCTTCCATTTTTACTTTTACTTTTACTTCATTGGATTCCTTTATCCTCATTCAATAATGTTCTGAACTTTTGCCCACCTTCACTTGTGTTCTTCAATTATTTTCTGAACTCTTTCTCATCCCCTATTGTCTTGTTTCAATCATGTTCTGAACCATTACTCAACTTTGTCCATATCACTTTATTGGATTCCCTTATCTTTCCATATTTTTTCCTATCTTCATTCAATTATTTTCTGAACCATTTCCTATCTTGTCTTATTTCAATCACGTTCTGAACCATTGCTCATCTTTGTTCATCTCACTTTATTGGATTCCCTTATCTTTCCATATTTTTTCCTATCTTCATTCAATTATTTTCAAACATGTAGGTCATCTCATTGTCTTGTCTATTTAAGAATTGTTATTCTACTGAATTGACCACACAATCTCCTTCAAATTCTCCTTCTTACAATGAATTCACGTGGGAAGGCTATACAAAATTTCTTCAATAATAATTCTGATGATGATGACCTTCATCAACAGAGGGTTGCAATGGCTGTTCAACACCATACGTTTTTGCTAGAGCAATATGCTCAACAATCCAAATATGGTGGTTCTGTTGCAGGCCGTGAATATAAGAATCGGAAGAGAGAAAAACATCATAAGAGTCTTATGGAGGACTACTTCTGTGAAAGATCACTTTATCTCCCAGTGGACTTTCACAGGCTGTTCCGCATGAGAAGAGAGCTTTTCTATCACATCTTGAATGATGTTGTTGCACATGAGCCATACTTTACCCAGAAGATAGACACTTGTGGATGACAAAGTCTATCCCCATAGCAGAAGCTAACAGCCATTTTTCAAATGCTCGCATATGGATGCTCGGCAGACTTCATCGACGAGTACTGTAGATTGGGTGAATCTACAACCCTTGAATGTTTTCGAAAATTTTGTTATGTTATTGAAGCCACGTATGGTAGTGGTACCTCCGTTCCCCAAATCCGGCCGACCTTTACAGGCTCTTGCACAAGGCTAGTAGCAAAGGATTCCCAAGCATGTTAGGCAGTCTTCACTGCATGCATTGGGAATGGAAAAACTGCCCCACTGCTTGGGCAGGCCAGTTTACCGGCTACAAGCATAAGCCAACTGTCGTTCTAGAAGCAGTGGCCTTGTATGACACTTGGATATGGCATACCTTTTTTGGCGTTGCCGGATCGAACAACGATGTCAACGTTCTTACTCGTTCCCCGTTGTTCAATGATGTAGTGAATGGAGTGTCTCCCCATATCCAATATGTTGTCAATGGAAATGAATATAATATGGGCTAATACTTGGCTGATGGTATCTACCCTCGTTGGGCTACATTGGTTAAGACGATTTCCCAACCAGATACTCCAAAAAAAAGACTATTTGCCCAAAAACAAGAGGCTTATAGGAAAGATGTCGAAAAAGCCTTCAGAATACTTCAGGCTCAATGGGCAATTGTTAGGGGACCTGCACGTGTGTGGGGCAAAGAACAACTTCATTCAATCATGATGACGTGCATAATATTGCATAACATGATTGTTGAGGATGAGTATGAGAATCTAGATGCATAATCTGATGATGATGACAATTGTCCATGAACATCTAGAAGAACAAGAGCAAGACTTGCTTATAAGCTTGAGCCAACTATCACGTACGATATAAACCGAGACAGACAAACTATCTCAGACTACATG